GTGGCTTGCACAAATGCGCACGGCTTAAAAAACATGGATAAATAGGACGGCATAGCGCCGGGGCGGGTCCGCAGGTTGCCACTAACTGTTTGCCTGATCTGGTCTGAACCGGCTGAATACCACCGCTGGTCCAGATGTATTGGAGTACTATTCCCACAATTTCCACCTAACATGTATATCTAACACATATGGAAGAAACCAGTTTAGAGAAGACTATGCTGTATAATTTAAACCAATTTAAATTCTATCTCTAAACCAGGTTGGAGAAGGCTAAGCTACATACAATAAAACATACAGTAAATGGAAGCAATGAAAAAGTTGTTACACAAGACAGTATCTTTCCCCATCCACATCATTTCTCAGATTTCAAAAGAAAGGTGAAGTAATACTTTCTATTATGTCAAAAATAGCTCTGGATAAAGTCTCTGAATCAAGGCTCACTGCAGGCCGTTTAGAAACTCAACTAGTTGTTTCAGCCTCAAATATTGGTATCCATTCCAAACCACTATGACGAGAAAAGACAAAATAAGTGTTGCAACGTAATAATGCAACCCCTGGTCTTTTCTACTTAAATTTTAATGACAGACCCAAATATATAAATTACAGGTTGTGTGTTGTGCTCCTTGAACTCCCATAGATTCCTGTGGCCTAAAGCCCTACCTCACTATCAGACAATATTTATGTTTATCAAGTGTGTAGTATACCAAATTTTGTAAACTCATAATTTAAAATCTCAGCCAGATCACACTATGTACATATAGATAATTAGCTGGGATACTGAATCCTGTCATTTTTTTTCTTACTTTTCCTTAAGAATAATTCTTTCAGAATCCTCAATATATACGTATGCATGTGTAACTATAGAAATATGGCAGTAGGACAGCTAATAATTATTGATGTAAAATTTAAATTCCTAATGCATAATACATAAATTGTCTTCTGATAAATCCATCTAAAAATCTGCATATCTTGTAAGCCTATTTTAAGGATTACTGAGAAAGCGGACAAGATGCCACATTGTTATGCAAATATTAATTATGATTAATTAAAATATATGCACAATGACACTTTTAAGTAATCAAATTACGTCATCACACAGGTATATAATCTGTGAAAATTAAATAGAAACCGAAATACAGAAGTTAACATGTTACTCTTAGAAATTCATATACTTAACTTCTTATTGTATAGTGTACCTTATAAGCTACAACAGTAGATCCCATGAATTTTTCAGCTAAAGAAATGCTGAATTAATTACAATGCTGAAGTTTAATTCTGGTAATCACAGTATTTGGTAAACATCAATTAATAAATCAAGATTCACAGAAAGTATTAGCATAAAAAAGTCATATCACACAGTATGATCAACAAGATATCAGAAATACGGCTGGTACTTTTATTTTTTTACTTTTACAACAGACAAGGAAACAATTAAAATAAGATATCTAGCAAAATATATACTGGTGAGCTTCAGGAGGAAGCGTTAACAAAATTCTACAAGCCTTAACAAAATTATGAAAGGAAGAAGGGCTTAAAATCAATCATCTTAAAACCAAAATTATAAATCTCTCAGCAAACATTAATAATTACATTGTTGCCTCAAATATTAATAATAATTTGGAAATAATAAAATAGAAAAACCAGTTTAGCTTAAAGGAGAAAAGTTTTATCTTATGATTTTATCTCATTAAACCTTATCCCACTCATGACCCAACCAATTTGCATAGGAAGAGGATCTGCATTCAGCTCTTGGATCAGATTCAGTTTTTATTGCTAGTTAATAAAGTATTGGAAGACTGGTCCAGTAGGCAATTTTTAAAAAATCACATTTCTGTGAGGCTTATAATTATTTGCATATGATAATTCTAGACTGGAAAATATAATTTGGGTGGGAAAATAAAATAAAGATGTTTGATTGAAGTAGCAAATCAGTAGCATTGCATTTTGAGACTGCCCACCTCTGTATCATTTCAAAAATCCAATTGTTACTCATAGGCCTAAAAAGTATGGGAACTACTTATATAATATAATGAGAGAGAGGGAGAAGGAGAGGAAGGGAAGGGAGAGAAAGAGAAATAGAGAATATGGGAATGACAGGCTGTTAGTTGTTGTTCGTGTGATCAGTTTTCTTTTAAGGCCAAAATTGAACTTAGAAATAAAATATTAACTTCCACTGAACCTAGTATTACTGTCCAATTAGATATGCACAAGATTGTACTTTTCAGTTTTATCCACTGTATCATTGCTGTATCATCAGGCATGTCATGCTTTTATTAAGATTACTGCTTTGCTTTTTTCCTCTAGCAAAGGTTACTCATAAAATAATCAGCAAGTTCTAATAAACACCAAAAAGACAGCAGCAATTTGTAAAGAAAGGATATTAAGCTAAAGCATTACTGATAATGTTTATCAGAATTTCAAGCAATGCTTTTAAATACTGCATGAGCTCTTCTGATTTCTGACACACAAATTAATGGACAAATTCCCTAAAGAAATGCACACTAAGCAAATGCAAGGTCCCAGGAGCTGGGATGAAGGTCAAAAGGTGCATTCCATAAAATTACCTAAACTTCTAGGTGAAAGGGGAAGATCAGTACTGATAGAAAATCCAAGAGAAGATTATCTCATATTAGTCAATATTTCATCAAACAGCAGGCTGCATCAACCTATAATAGAATGCTGAGCTGCTAGAATGTGATTGTCATGTTTTAATTTGAATGAAGGGGCAGCCAACAATTGAACCTTGAATTTCTTTTGCTAATATTAAAAACATTTTATCCATGACTTTTGGTTTAAAAAAATGGGCTGATATGTAATTATTAGCTGTCAGCTATTACACCAGTTTTATGTAACTATTCAATATTGTTCTTACCAGACCAAACATTTATATCAAAGCCATCACATGCAGACTATTTCAAGTAACGGCAGCTACGAAGTGTTGCCATAAGCAAGCAGAGGATACGCTGCAAACATTTTGAATCGTACCAATTCCTAAGTATCCACTGAAATTTAGACATACATTCTTGTCACTTTAGCAGGTTCTTCTACATGCCATTAAAATATTATTTCTCAAATATTCTTTCTGTGAACACGAACAGTATTCTTTGTAAATGTTGTGACCTATTTTCTTAAAACACTTGTTTCTCTTTTCTCTATAGCAGTGGTTCTCAACCTTCCTAATGCCGTGACCCTTTAATACAGTTCCTCATGTTGTGGTGACCCCCAACCATAAAATTATTCCTAAAGCTATTGAAAATATGTGTTTTCCGATGGTCTTAGGCGACCCCTGTGAAAGGATCATTCGACTCCCAAAGGGGTCCCGACCCACAGGTTGAGAATCACTGCTCTATAGCAATCTTCTCAAGGTTTTACAAACAGAAAATACAATTTTCCCTATAGGCCCACTTGGCCCCTGTAATTTGTGCCTGCACAATTGTTGTGAGCTGCGTGGCTTTGTAAATGTGATTTATAAATACATAAATATATTCACACCAGGGCCCCCCACCCTTTAAATTCTCAGGCTGTTAAAAGATAGTGAGCGATTTGTACTTTCAGACTTGCAAGATTGATGTCAGCATTCCCAGATAGACCAGACAAGATATATGACCAGTTGAGCTAATCCTACTTTATTCTAAGACTACATTAACAGAAGCTTGAGTCTGAATGTACAAACCTTTTGCAGAACTGAAATCCTCCTGGCAGGCAGCCCTTTTGCTCTTATGTGCAATGGCGGCCCACCAAAGGACTTCAGCTCCTTTCTGAGCACAGAGGGAAACCCTTCATGGGCTTTCAGAGAGCTGAAATCTTCAGAATATTAGCTCTGTTCCTGCAATCTGCCATAAGATTTCCACTCCTTTCTGTGCATGGAGGGGAAATCATTCAGCAGACCATAGGATTCCAATGACTTTCTGGGGAAGCCAGCAGAGGAGATCGCAAATGGCGATTGCATGATTGTGGGACGCTTGACAACCAATCATAAGTGCAAAGAACAAATAGATATGTATAATCTTGTACAAATTGAAAAGAAATGAACAAAGACAACCAGAACAGCATTTCTCTTTGTGTAATATACATTTTCTTCTAGAACTAGACATAGAATTTCCAGAAATGTTGAAACTGCTTTACAGACACGTTGATATTCCTTGAAGGACATTTAAAACACTCTCTTACAAACAGCAGCAACACTTAATCAACTTTAGTTACTATCAAAGAAGCTAAGCAGAATTGGACCTGGTAATTTACATGGGAGATCATGAAGAAATCCAATTGTTATAGGTTACACTGAGAAGTTTAGAAGTATCTCCAATTAAAAATACAGGTAGTACTCAACTTACAAATGTAATGAAGCCTGCCAATTACATTCGTAACCCAAAGATTTGTTGGAGTGAATCATGTAAAATCAATGTGAAAACTCCCTTTCGCCCACGCATTCACTAATCGAATGCGCAGGTTGTTAAGTGCACATGAGGTATCTCAGGGTTGGGAAGGCCATGGGGGCGGGGGAGGGATGACTGGTGCTTCTGACTACCCAAGGTTTCCCCCAACCCACTGAGATACCTCATGCTCCCCACAATTGCTTCCCCCCCCCATCCCGCCACACCGGGTCTCCTCAGGCACTGGGCCTGTGGAGACTCACACCTTGCAAAGATCTAGTGAGCTGTCTCCTCTGTGCTGCAGAGATTTGCTGACTCACCAAGACTGCCTGCTGCTTCTGGAGCAGTGGGAGCCTCGGTGAGTCTCCCCCAGAGCCTTCCAGTCTCAGTGCACAAAGTGTTTGCAAACTGATGGGATGCACCCCATTGACTTGCAAACATTTTGCACACTGAGACTGGAAGTTTCTGGGAGCCGTGATTCATGAGTCTTCAGACACCCATTCTTTGCAAAAGTGGACGGTTATGTTGCAACTTCAGTCACTGTTATAACTCTAAGAGTACCTGTACCTAGTTACTTCCATACTGATTCCAAGGAAAGGACACAGATGTAGTCATGCACACTAGAAATTGATTCAAGGGAATATTGAATTTAAGTAAGCAAAAGAACTATTTTCCCTAGTAAATCATATGACCCAGGATAACTGTATGCATAGTCATTTCCAGAGCAGGCGCTGCTTCTCCTCTCCTCTTAAACTGCAAGACACATCTATAAAGTAAGACAAGAAGAAGAAATGGAAATGGTAGCCTAAGACCAGTATTAGGCCTACATTTCTATTCAACATGAACATGCTGGCCCTGCTGCAATAACATACATTAAGGCTTTGCAAGAAAGAAAACTCTTCGGAAAATCAAGAATATTTGTGGACTTCCTCTAGGAAGTATGAAGACATGGATAGTTAAAGTACAAAATCTTAAGGAGACAATGGAAGAACACAAATTGATTTAATTAAAAAAAAAATCAATCGGGCATTACTCATAAAAACTTCCTCAGAGCCTATTAGAATGATAAAGGGTAAAAAGAGTTGATAAAGTATGGTAATGGGCTATCCATTACCACTAAACAAGTTATAATTGTATGGCTGGAAAAAAGGTGTGGTATCATTTAGATGATCTCCATTCAGAGAACTCCTCAGCTGCTCAAAGAAATGCACTAGAGATCCTGGCTACATATCTGCAAAAAACTTCCACACTCCACTTAAGACTGCAATCTAGAGCAGACATGTTTTCTCTAGTTTATCCAGTCTATCCTTCCACTAATAATGACTATTCCAGATCACCTTTATTTTCAATTGTCCATGATATTAAATTCCAGACAATACAGGACAATGGTCAGACTCAACTGATATGCAACAATATGATAAGCCAACTACGGTTAGTAGGTTTTACAATTATTTTATATAAGAGAGAGGCAGATGGTATTCCTATAACAGTACAATACCCTCCAAGCATTGAAGTAAAAAACATGGGGAGGTAAGTTTAAAACAGTCTGCTGCCAGGCTGGTAAATGTATTGTTCTTATATTCTTTGTTATGAGAGAGGTCAACTTCATAAGCTAAAATGTAATCATTTGTTCTTGTATGTTGCGTTTATATTTTGTTTTCTTCTTCAGACAGGTTGTCAAATGGAAAGTGTGCACATTACAGATAATGTTGCTATGTTTTTGAACATTTAGCTTTGCTGCTGACCTTTGCAGAGCAAGTCATGCTCTCTATGGACAGTATTAAAGTGAATCTGCTGCAGATGCGTCTTTGCTGTGCTCACTTCTGGGTTGTCTGTATAGACAAGCCAGGTTGCAGGAAAAAAGCTTATTTAATTATTCCTTCCATTCTTTACAGTAAGAAATTTTAAAAACTTTAGGTCAATTTTTTATAGATTGGAAAATAGAATTCAGCATGGGTTACCAATATACCTACTTTTATTTCTAATTGTACAATATTTGAAATGTTCTTGGTCTTGGTTCTACTGGAGCATACAAACACTCAAATTATTTTGAACTTTTTAAAATTTTCAGTATTTCTGCACAAATATGACCTAAAATCTGATCTTCACATACGTCTGAAAACAGATAAAGGAAACCCAATTAAGCAAGTGAGTCAAAAACATTATACTTGTTCATTTACTGAGAAAATGATCCAAAGCCACATACTTGTGTGAATGGAAAAAGTATGCGAACATTTGCTTTCAGTAACTATATGCTTCCCTTGAGCCTAGCGGTAACTATAAACTAAAAGTTTCCGATAACTGTTGGCCAATCCTGCCTATTGGCTCGGAAGAATTTTAGACCATTTCTCCTTCCAGAACAGCTTCAATCCAGGGTTGCTGTTGGGCTTTCTTGCACAAATTGCCTGCTTCAGGTCCTTCCAGAACATTTCTATAGGATTAAGGTCAGGACTTTTTGCCAAACTCTAAAGCCATTTCCTCTTTTGATCATATGACTTATGTCTTTTGGGTCACTGCCTTGGCTGCATGGTCCACTTTCATTTGGACTTTACTTCAGAGACATCTGATAGCTTGATATTTTCCTGTAGAGTTTGCTGGTACAATTCAGAATTCACACATTTCATCAATTATAGTAAGCCATCCTATTTAAGTAAAGCAGACCAAATCATGATACTGCCATCATCATGTTTCAGACATGAGATAAGGTTCTTATACTGGAATGCAATGTTTGCCTTTCACCAAAGTTTTTTTATTCACGCCAAAGAGCTTTATTTTGGTCTCACCCATTCAGAGTCTTCTTCCAATGGCTTTTTAGCTTATCCACATTTGTTTCACAAATTGTACATAGGCAACAATGTTCTTTTTGGAGATTAGCAGCTTTTTTCCTTGTGACCCTGCCAACAACATACTATTGTTGTTTAACATTCTCTTGGATTGGTGATCTCATGAATACTGATATTCACCAATCCAAGAGAGACCTGTGGTTCTCTTAAATCCTTTTGAGACCTCCTGGAATACTATACCTCTTGCATTTGGTATGGTTTTGGTTAGGAGAGGGGTTTTTTGCTTCCATTTATATATAATCTACCTAATAGTGGACTGCTGGAGTCCAAACTCTTTGGAAATAATTTTGTAGACTTTTCTAGCCTAGTGAAGATCAACAGTGTTTCAGAGGCCCTCAGAAATAGCCTTTGCTTGATCCATGACACACTTCCACCTATCTGTGTATTAAAGATTGGACTTTGATGGCAAATACTTAGAATTCCATTCTTTAAATAAGGTAAGACATCCCATACTCCCATTTGATTGCTACCCTATTGAATGAAACACCTGGATATAATTTCCCCTCCCGATGAACTGCTAAGTTTAGAGATTGACATGCTTTTGCCACACACAAATATGTAACTTGGATCAATTTCCTCAATAAATACCAGTAAATGAATAAGTGTAATAATCTTTGACACATTTCTTTGGGTGGGTTGTCTTTATCTAGTTTTAGGACTATGCAGAACAGATCCCATTTTAGGTCATATTTATGCAAAGTATTGAAAATGCAAAAGGTGTCACAAACCTCTCAGTACAACTGTAATACACCTTGTAGGGGAGATGGGCGGCATAGAAATTTAACAAATAAAAATTTTATTACTGTAGACAAGAAGGGGAGGGAAGAAAAAAGAGCTGATGTTCCTCATTTTGTTCCTCATTTTTTGCTTTGTTTACTTTTTATTGTAAACAGTAGTTTTTGAAGATTTGCTCAGTGTGAGTTGTCCTAATGAAGGAATTTGTTTCATGATATGGTTAGGAAGACAACCTTTGCTTTCGGCCTTGTATATATATATATGCACACAGTATATATCCCATGAGATAGACAATGCAAGTTCTCCCGTCTGGATACTACTTTACTTGTTCCTGGCTGGCTACTTGTTCAGTTGCCCCATTTTCCAAACTCCAGGAGTGAAAAAGAGGGGATCAAGATTAAAATTAGTCAGGCAATTCTCTGAACTATTAGTATAAATGTAATATCCATTCTTGAGGTTTATACCATTGCCTAAATATTAGTGGTTATGTATTGTATATGCATACTGTCCTTATATCACATTTCGATGACTATTTATAATGAAAGCTGAAGATGATTAAGAATTCCAAATTCTGGATCATGGAAAAGTATGTGCAGTACAAAGAGAACATGCTTATTTTCCAGAAAGTGAATGCCAGCAGTAAAATGATCACTGCCAGCTGGTTTGGCCATTCTCCTCATTACAGCACATTAGCATCCCACTGACAGCTACCAGACAACACAGGAAATGAAAATATATTTTAAAAATGTAAAGGAAATAGTAATATATACATCTTTCTCTGAATTTACAATATTCCACAGTATGTTTCTAATGGCCTCATGAATAGAAAAAAAAATCCTACAAAGCAAACAAAAAGAATGATCCAGGAAAAAAATAAGTCAGGCACAGCTGGTTTTAATGCTTTTGATTTTTTGATACTGCAGCTTACATCCAACAGAGTGAAACTGACAAAAGCAGGCCATACTTTTCATTGCTATAAAAATGGTATTTAAGTAAATGAAGCTACTCTCCCATCCCAATCTTAGTGCACCTAAAAAAAGATTTAAGTGTTCTTTACAGATTTTTGGAATTATTCATAGAAACAGCCTAGGAATGGAACCTAGAAAGATTAGTAAAGATGCTCCACCCTTGCCAGCATTCAATTATTATAGCAGCCAACAAATGAAATCCCACCCCCCTTGCATTCCAGCAATAGGGACAGAGCTTTCTCACTAATCTATACCAGTAATTATTAATCTGTATTCGTCTTTTTTAATGCATTTTTCTTAAACGTTAACTTTCAAAAAACCCATGGTTTTTATTTGGCAATCATATGTAAGGTTCTAGTCACAAGAAATTTACAGTGCATTTTCCAAGAAATATAGACACTTAATTGCTACAAAGCCATTTTGTCTCAAGGTAAATCCACTGATTGTGAGAAAAGCACATTCTTCAACTTCCATGCTTAACCACCAAGTACAGCATTACTATAAAAATATTGTTACTTCATTAGGACACAACTACAGTAGTCATAACTACTGGGTAGGTATATGCATACATTGTGAGTTTGCAATCAACAGAAGGTAGAGTACACTCATGATTTCTTCACTACCCAACCAGTAGTGCTTTGTATCTTAAGTATAAATTTTACATACTTCTTGGAAGATGAGCACTTCTCAGGATTATAAATGGGATAATGCTCAAGTTACAAGATTTACAATCCTACACCCACTTAACAAAAAGAAGTTCTCCCAGTGGTCTTTATGTTCAGTAGAAATACCTACTATAAATTCAATGTTAAGTACATAAATAAGGAATCCCTTGTCCATTCATATAACTATAGCTATATAACCATTATATAAATATAATTCTTCTTTAACTGTTTTATCCATTATTCTGAAGGGACAGAATTCCCAGGATAGACACTTACATCAAATTTAAGTACCACCCTCTATTTCACAGGAACAGGAAGTTATATTACTGATGAAGCAATTAGCTTGAATACATGTTTATTTGCATATATGTATTGGGAAGCAAGGTTTTTGAAATTTTATGATTAAGACTGATTTCCCTGGTCAAAGATTTCATTCAAATATTTCTGTATTTAACCCTAGATTACAGCCAAACAGCAAACTATTTAAAAATATTAATATTCAACTACCCCTAACTCAGATTACTCTCTCATATATATATATAAATAACCTAAATG